AAAAATTGTATTGATGAGTTTCTCCGGTGCAGATGAGAGAAAGTTCTGCATTGGTTCTGGTATATTATAAATTAACTACTAAACCCCAGTCTTCTGCGTCCAATTGATTACTATTTGAACTTGATAATTCCCCCGGTATAGATGTTGATGCGCAGAAGCAGAGATTCGGGGAAGACAAACTAATTGCGCTATTTTATTCTTACACAAACTTTTTGCAAAAGATAAGCATAGAATTTGATTTTCTGGAGTTGCATTTTGGGAAAGAAGGAAGTGATTACACCTAAGGTAGAATTGTTTTGTTTCATTAGCATGTACCAATTATCAAGGTCAGCTGTGCTCCAATACTGAATTGCAAACGGAAGAAGATTCTGGTGCGTCTCTGTTAAAACAATTCACTTATATCTGCTTGTATCCAGAAGGGAGGAGAAGGAAGAGAAAGACAAGTAGAAGAAGAAATAGGCACTACACCTGAAGTTTCATCCACAGCGCTTCTATCATTTCAATTTTTTTTATTTCATATAATATTATTTAACTGAATAAGACAACAGATCATGGAATAGATCAAATGGGGGAACACGTTAAAAACGCACCAAGAACACAACATATCAGTTGGTGTGTGTTATAGATAATTGCATAATCTACAATTTGTCTAACCGATTCTAATGATAAAGTTTACCATTTGGCCATTTGACTTTGAATAATTAATGAAACAATGATATTCCAAATAATCATACCAATTTTCAGTTCTATGCGATTCATTGTAAACTTTATGCTGATAGAATTCCATGTTTCCACATACAGTCATGAAGAAAAGTATATATACAAATTAATATTGTGATGTATTTTTTTTTAACTTGTTTTATTAATACACCAACCTGTGTACATAATTCGTTATAGCATAATACTCACTTATACATAAATAAATTCATTAGACTCTCTTCAATAAAAAATTGAAAAAAACTGGAACTATAAAGGACAAAAATATATAGACAAAGCCAAACAATTATAGAAAAAAGAAGCAAAGTTCATTGAATTATAGAAAACCAACCATGTTTGTGTTAATATTTTGTAGCATAACCATTATTATCAATCACCGCCTGGGATCGTCTCGGCATAGATTGTAGAAGTTTCTTGATATAAGATTCATCAATCTGACTCCACTTTTGCTCTAAAGCAGCAAAAAGTTAATCATTGTTTGAATGATTTTTATGCTTATCTAAGTATTCCCATAGATTTTCAATGCGGTTTACATCGGGAGACTGTGATCCAGAAAGAGTTTCTTTGCGAGATTTGAAGTGCGCTTCGGCTCATTATCTTGCTGGAAGATTGATCTTAAGGGCATATTGTCTTCCATATAGGGTAACATGACATGCTTTAGTATGCCTGTGTATACAAACTTATCCATAATGCCATCTATTCTATGTAAAGGTCCCATCCTAAACCCCTAAATGCGCCCCCAAACCATAACAGACCCGCCTCCATGTTTGACAGCTGGCAAAGTGTACTTGTGGTTCAATCTTTGTCCAATAGGACGTCTAACGTAATGAACATCATCTGATCCAAACATATTGAACTTGGATTCGTCACTGAAACATACCCTCTTAAATAACTTCAAATCATTTAATCTTCTACTTATAGTTTTCGTAGAAAAACTGACAATTCCTTTTGTCTCGATTTCGGCTTTTATTTGTCTTGGGGTTTTAAACGGATCTTTGGACTAAATTACTTTTATTAATCTAACTGATCTAGCATTTAGTTTTCTAGGCCGACCACTTCTCTTAGAGGCTTCCGAGATACCTTTTTGTTTATATTTGTTCAATATTGCCCAAACTGCATTACGCTTCAGCTTCAAATTTTTGGCAATGTCGACTTGACGTTGACCATCTTTGTATAACTCAATGATCTTAGTTTTCACATCGAAAGAAATTTCTGGACCACGCGGCATGGTCTTAAAATCACTCAACTTATTTCAAATACTTGATGAACACAAACTAATCCTCTTCCGACACGAAACTGTACTAAACTAATGTTGAAAAGAATTTGTCTACATATTTTTGTCTATCATAAAAAAGTGCTTATATTCAGACTTGTATTGTGCTCATTGCAGATAATGTAAAAACAAAGAATTTAGTTTTTCTACTAATAACGCATTTGTTTATGGAGCAATGAAGTATGAATTCATTTTCTACAGGTATTTAGGTAAATATTCATATTTGTCTATATACTTTTGTCCATTACTGTATGTTGAAATTACTTTTTACCACCATGGTGGACTTTTTCGAAGTACACATCTATACATCGAGTTCGATTCCTTGTAAGGTGTACTATATCTTAAACGAACAGTCAATGAGAAGCAAACACTGAAAGGTGCTCAAAGCTTGGCAAACAATTGGTACGTGGCGATCGTCAGATTTTCACCTACTTGTTTTCAGTCCATATCCACTTGTTTGCCTTCCATTTCATTTAGTTCCAAGACCTAAGACCTATACCGCACCGAGAAGCTGCTAATGAGCACGACATAGTGTTGCCTGTGGTTGGTCATGGTATCATGTGCGATGAATGTTATCCTTTACGAAATAAGATAATATGGAAAAACATCAGTAAGTCGTATAATACGGATTTATAAACCTTCTGGGCAAATGTTACAAAAACAGGATGGAGGATAACTTTCCACTGTTTTAGTGCAAAATTGTTGCTGCGACTGGTATTTTATTAGGCTGTGTACACAAAGTTACTAAGCTCTATAAATTCCATCCATTCAAAATGAAAATATTGCAATAGTTAACCGAAGATGATTTCGATAGGCGAGTCATGTAAAGAATATCTGCTTCAGTGATGGACGCACATTATATACAGGGTGTCCGCAAAGTTGGGGTTTTCCTTTACACGACGTGTAGATCTTGAAAACATAAGCAATTTTTCTTAGTACCATATACCCCAATGTCTTAAGGGAACCGAGATAAAGGGCTCTGCAACATCAAAAATATCTGAATACCGTCCTGTAGCCGCGACATTACCGACTGGTACAAGGTCACTGGCTCAACCCGACGACAGAACTGGGTCGGGGTCAGTGTGTCAGTGTGCAACCTTCAACCGACGGTTACGGTCACGCGTGTAGAGGTAATCGCGTAGACGAGAATCCCTCAACAAGCCTAGAGACGTGGCTAGAGAAGTGCAAGTATCAAAAACTAAAGTGTGGCAAACGCTGCATGAAGAGGGGCTGTATGCGTTTCACGTCCAACGTGTACATGCCCTTCAACCTGACGATTTTCCAGCAAGAGTGCGGTTTTGTGAGTGGTTGTTGCATCAACATGACAATAATCCGGACTTTTTGAAGTGCATATTGGTGACAGACGAATCTACGTTCACGCGTGATGGGGTGAATAACTTTTGCAACACTCAAGTTTGGTCAGTAGAAAATCCGCACGCTGTCCGTCGGGCACATGTTCAACAAACATTTTCGGTAAATGTTTAGGCTGGCATGGTGAACGGTATGCTCATTGGACCATTTATTCTCCCAAATCGATTGGACGGGATGCAATACCTAGACTTTTTACGCAAGATTTTGCCTTCCTTGTTAGAAGCTGTGCCATTAAGTGTAAGACAATCAATGTGATTTCTGCGTCTGCTCGGTAGCGCATCAGCTGATTTCATTTTCTGTTGGAGCGGTATGATTTCGGGCAGAGAGGTACTTAGCCCCTCTCGTCAACTGGAGAGTGAGTACTTTTTCCTTTATTTTTTTTTACTTGGTCGCCCTCATTTCACTACACATTACCTTTATTATTTCAAGGGTAGTTGTTTCTGAAAAGGAAAACCCCAACTTTGCGGACACCCTGTATATCTAAATGGATTTTTTAATAAGCATAACTCCAGGTATTGGAGTAATGAAAATCATCATGCTTTTGGAGAAGGGCATACCCAGTACCACAAAAAATTAATGTTTTTCGTTTATTAATGGAAATCTGAATGGAGACATTTATTTGGCTATGTTGGAAAATACCATCAATGAAATATATTTCTAGCAAGACAGCGCTCCTCCACATTATGTCCCTCCGGTTCGGCAATCGCTAGACGACGAGTTTCCAGATAAATGGATAGGGTGAAAAAGACCTATAGAATGGCCTGCTAGATCTCCTGATTTGACGCCATTAGACTCTTTTCTATGGGGCGATTTGAAATCTATTGTGATTACACCCCAACCTGGAAGCTTGGATGAACTTCGACAACGCATCATCGAAAGCTGCCATGATATTCCACATGTTTTTGAAAATGTCTGTCAGGAATTTGAACATCATCTATACCATTGGCCAATAACGGGCAAAATTTTGAACACTTAGAGAAATAAAAAGTGATATTTTCGTGTGTTTTTGTTTTCAATTTGAACAAATTAAGATAGAGATTTTTCAAATTTTTTCGAAAAGGAATTAACCGATTTTGAAAAATCAAACGTCAAAATAAAGGACTTCGAACGACCCTTCAGACAAGCTACTACTCGATACCCCTTGTCTTTAAATTTTTTAAGGGGATGACTCTGGGGGGCAGAGGGTGAAAGTGAGTGAAGTAGTTTTTGGTTAAAAAGATGTCCCCCTTGACAAATCTTTTAACGTGTCTCGGCGTTTTTTCAATTAATCAGTGATTTTCGATCAATCCGTGGTGGGAAGCTTTGAAATGAACACCCTGTATCACACATTACACATTGCTATAAATTGTTTACTAGTGTAAGTGACACCTTAAGCTACCTTTAAACAACCACGTCAGCAGTTTTTTTCAAATGACACGTTCACGAATTTCGCAGATGATTGTATATACACCTTGTAAAACATCCACCGTGATCCTCCTAGCCTTTGATAACATAGATGTCATTATTTCTGTCGACATTATCGAGCAAGCAGGAATGAAACCATTATCATAATATCTCTTGAAGAGCTGATACTGTAATCCAACCAAATGAGCTTATTAACAGCAAGAAACAATTTCGAATATGAAATGAACAGGTTCGGCTAGTGAGACGACTGCTCCAACAACACTCTTGATTCCATTCCGAGGCGTCGCTGAACGAAACCTGTATTTAACTACAACGATAAACAAAAGAAAAACGTCCTCGCAGATAGCCCGATTATTTTCGCCGAGATCCCCTATCAGATAAAATAATACCATTGCAACAAAGTAAAGAAATTGATGCAATTCTGCGATTGCAAAATTACGCAAAATGCTGCTGGTTGTATAACGCGCACACCGTAAAGAATGGGGAAGATTCCTTACAGATAACTGAACGTATTGAAATGTATTCGAGGTTCATTTATCAGCGCATATTCCGTAATATGTGAAAGGTGAAAAAACCATGTATGTGCACATTTATGCGTTCAAAACCATAAAATTGCAAAATTGCAAGAATATGCATTTCTGTCCAATTGAGGAAAATCTATGTCGCAGATGAATGTCAATACTTAAGGGGTCAATTTTTTTATCCATTTTAAGAAGGCCTTAAGTTTTGAGAATAGTCGCTTTGAAAATTCGAGGTCTTCTAGCCATTTTATACTACAATGTGTAGGTCTAGGACTTCGTGTGTCTTTTTTTTCTCTCCATCTTCGTTTCCTCAGGTTACACCCGTATCCGGATGTGTGGGCATGTGTATCTACTTCTGTAGTTGCATATGTGCATTCATTTCGGGCCTGATAAAGCCAACCAGCAGAAATATGTATCGCTCGGGTTACCTATCATATTTTCTGCTCGAATCCACTTTTTGCGGATTTTGCCCATTATTTTCCTATTTTTGTTATATACCTTTCTCCGCATGATAATTTTCTCTCTATATATACATATATATATAAAAATGAATCCCTATTTCGCGTGGTCACGCCATAACTTGAAAACGGCTTTACCGATTTCATTCACATTTTTTTTTAAATTCTCCTAATGCTGTATAGAAGGCTCTTACGGAAAGAAAAATCAAGAAAATTGCGCAGAAAATTGGGAAATCATTGAAAACCTTTATTTAAGCTACGTGCGTTTGACAGTTTGGTTGAGCATGGAGTACGCACAGCAGAATAAATATCTCAAGTACCAAAAGAGGCAGGCACTCCTCCCCACCATCTTTATTTCAACAACTATTGACAGTTAGCTATGTGAGAGAAAATTGCTTATCACGGTGTTTTCGTTTTTGAACTTAATTTCTTTACCATCCGTACTTTGTGATGGCCCCTTCAAAAGAAACTGCAGTGTTGCCTAATTGTTATCTTTGTCAGTTAATACAAATGGCGGATCAAAATACATTTCTTTCGCTTAATTGACTTTCACTACTATATCATTTTGAACTTGACAGCTCGCACGCCGCAAATCTATATTATCGCTTAACAGTTTTATCGATGAAAAAATATTGTTTTATTTAATTTTTAGTGCACAGTATTCAAGGGCTCGATTTTTGGGTCTATTTGGTTCCAACTTTTGAAGAATTCAAAGTTTCAAGTCATAACTGAAAAATGAGATTTTTTTTATACCCGCCACATAGACAGATACCTAAATACCGGGGGGCTTAGAGATAGAGACTTGTTGTTAATCCATCGACATAATGGAGGAGAGCTCTGGGGGGTAAAGCCCGTTGGCCTAGCGGTAGAAGATAGCTAGATTACCGACCGCCCATGGATGGGTCCGGATACCGTCAGTAAGAGAAATGTCATTGATCAGTCGGAAATCTCTCTTCTCTAAACAGCATCAAGTATAGACAGTATAGTAGGTATTGCAGCACCTCAAACATGGGAAAATTACTCGATGCTGGGCCTTTTACAGAGCGAGGATATCACATAGGGAAAAGCACTGATTAGTCCTAAACAAATAATAGTAATAATAATAATTCCGGCTTTATTACAGCAAAATTTAGCCCATGGCTATACTCTTACGTTTAACCCTGTTAAGAAAGTAGATTATACTTATACAGGAATTTAGAGAATATGTATTGTGACTTACAAAATCAGAACATGAAACTAGCTATATCACTCTGCTAGTAGCACCTGTCTAATATTCTTTTCAAATAATAATATTTCGTTTTTTATCTCATTATTCACCTGGTCATACATGTATAATTTCACAGGGTTATAGGTATGAGAAAGATCTTTGGAATAGTGTTGAATGGTGACAAGGTACACTCAAGTTATCCCCGCGTCTTAAATTTGAAGAATAAGAATGTGTTTCTTATCGGTATAACTTTTAAATAAATAAGATGGCATGGAAGTCATTATTTTCCCAGTGTGACGTAGGCTAGAACGTCCACCGGTGATCGCTGTTCCAGATATTCCGGAATCTCCCGGTTGTTTTACTTCTCTATCACCTTCTTGATCACACAAAGCAGAGCTACAAGCCTTTAGTTCAAAGAATCGGTCTTGGATTCTTCTTTGGGACAGGTTGAACATGAGCAAGCTTACAATCTTCTGTGAAAGTTCCGCTGCCCACCTCCTCAGTATAATATCAGAAATCAAGTTAAGTCCAAAAGCTTAGTTGATGTCGAGCCTCAACAGCACTAACGAAAGTTTATCTTAAGGTCGCGTTGTTTAGGGAACCATTGAAGTCGACGGCATGAGAGCGTTGGGAGAGACGTTCATTGTGAAATTGGAAGCAAAGATCCTGGCAAGTACTCCCGCCTTAGTCTTGGAGCCGGTTACAATTGTATGCCTGATTACACAATCTTTGAGTAGCCGAATGTTTTTTACTATGTTGTGAAGCGGCTACAGAGTCAAATTTTTGATACTCAGTATACTCAAAAATGTTGAAATTTTCATTTGACTCTCGTAACAACATTCACTGGAGCGATTTTCAAAACTTGCAAGCAACTCTTTTTTATCCATGGCATAGTTGCAACCTTATGTCAAAATTTCATCGAAATACAATCTTTGTTTCAAATTATTACAAGCCTTTTTAGTCGCTTTAGACCAGAGTTCCCCAAACTTTTTTGTGTCGTAGACCCCTTGCCATGTTCTTCCGTGTTGGGTAGACCCCCTACTTACCTGATATTGATTTTCTGTAAATTTCTAACTGTAGTGAAGTTTAGTGTTAAAAACTTAAAGTAAAAACACATGTTAATTTATACATTTATTAATTGAATTTAAATTAAAACTACTCAAAATAAAATTTTGTATCTGTTATGTAAAGTATACGTAACATTAAATGTCTGACCAATAAGTGCCCCCATTGGGAATAAGTGCCCGCATTGAAAAAAAATAAGAGGGATAAAATAAAAAAAAGTGAAAAATAAAAAAAAGTTTTTTACTTAAAATAGTACAATAAGCGAGTTCGTTTATTAATGATAACATAAACGTATGTTCTACAATAATTTCACTGTTACTTTGATTAAATTCCGCTTCTTATACGTTTAAGTTATCTAAAAATAGGCAAAAAATTAAAGAATTTTAGTGTGTACCTATCCTTGAATTTTCAGAATAATTTAAAAAAAAATCAATGCGGGCACTTATCCCCAATGCGGGCATTTATTGGTCAGACACCAATAAACATAAAATAAACTATAAATAAAATAACATAAGCAATAAGTCAATATTTTTAGTGAGAACGATGAACCTGATGCTTTAATAATAAATTATCAACATTTGGCGTCAATTTTGTAAGGGTTAATCCTAAATCTCCTCGGCTAATGATGTCCAGTCTGTTTCTTTTTTTCGTTAGGAGATTGGTAACAGCGCTGAACCCCCTTTCCACTAGGTATGACGATGGAAAGGAAATTAAAAATGTCCTCGCTATATTTCGTAATACGGGATAAGTAACGGGTATGTTGTTTTGCAGCCAGAATTGCTGATATCCGTTTTTAAACTGAACCTTAAGTTCTTCGTTTGTACTTAGCTCAGTCAGTTCCTCTTGTATTATGACATTCTTTTCTTCTATGTCACCATATGGATTAATTATCCACGGTGGTATTACCATAGTCAAAATATCCTCAAACCTAGATTCAAAATCTGAATAGAGGGCATTTAAATGTTCAACGTAAGTTGAAACGTCGTCTTCCTGACAGCTTGTCTGTGACAAATTAGGGAACTGAGAAAATTCGCCCCGTCCAATATTTTGCTTCATTAGTTTAACTCTGGTAAGAAACGCTGATAAGATGGACTTTGTTTTAATTAAATTTAAACTGTCGCCTTGTAATTGCAAATTAACCATATTAAATTTTGTAAACAAATCTGTTAAATAGGCGATGTCTGTTTTCCGCTTCATTAAATTTTCTTTTAAAATTTTATCTTTAGTATCCAGACATTCTAAAATAGTCTCAAAAAGTGCAAAAAATCTTGTCAAACATAAGCCTTTCGACAGCCAGCGTACTTCAGTGTGAAGGAGTAATTGATGAAAGTGTTCGTCATTTTCTTCACACAACTGCGCAAATAACCGCGTATTCAAGGCGTTGCTTCGGATTCGGTTTACTGCATCAATGACTAAATGAAGTGACTCATGCAATCTAACACTCAAATTTTTAGCAACTAAATGTTGTCGATGGATGACGCAATGTATTGCTAACGCCCCTGACACATTTTGTTTTAAATAGCTTATAAATCCACGATAACGTCCAACCATGGCAGGTGCTCCATCTGTAGCTACTGATATTATATTTGATAAAGGAATTGCTTTTTCAATGAAGTAATCCTTCAAAACATGAAATATTGATTCACCTTTAGTGTCGGTTATCAAAGTTCTTGCGAAGAGCAGTTCTTCGTAGATTTCTTGATTCATAATAAAACGGACATATGCCAATAATAATGCTGCATTATCAGGTAAAGTTGACTCGTCCAGTTGTATAGAGAAATGGGTCGTTTGCAAATAATTACATAAGAAGCTTTCAATATCAGAACTCATTTCATCAATACGTCTTTCAACAGTATTGTTGCTTAAGGGAATTCTTTTAATGATATCAGATGCAGGTTTGTGTAAAACAGTTTTTAAAACCTCTTCAACGGCTGACAAAATTAACTTCTCTCCGATAGTATGCGCTTTTCCGGATTTTGCTATAAGTAACGAGATATTGTAAGACGACCGCAAACCATCATTTCTTTGTGACGTCGAAGCGAACATTCTGTCCAGTGTAGGTCTCTTCTGAAATTTATCTTTGAGTGTTTGAAAGTATTTCAAATCTTTCTCTGTTTTATCAGGGTGGCATCTTCTCAGATGATCTTGCAGTTTAGATGGTTTCATAGCGTCATTGCCCAAAACTTTGTTGCATAAAAGGCACATAGGCGATTTTTTGTCCGGCAATGATGGAATGAAGCCAAATTTCAAATAATCAACACTGTACTGTCTACATTTCTTTTTAGATTCGGACATGGCATCAGTCATCTGTGGGCAAAATTAAATTATTTAAGTAAGACAGAAAATCCGGCAGCGGTATATTAAAAATATTTTTTGATTTTTCCGAAAACATTCCATAATTCGAACATCTTCTTGCAACAATTAGCTCGAATTACGGAGATTGCACTGTAATTATATTACCGATTGCTAAAACTTTCAAAAAGAAACTATTGAGGAGTACTCGTGTAATTTTGCATGATTGAATATTTAACTACTAATAACTAAAGTCATGATTGGCGTAATTTATCTATCTTTGCTAACTACGAGTACAAAACTAAAATTTAATAAAAAATAATGTGATTACTTTTCTCCAGCACTCTCAAAACACTGACTCACTATAATGTTTATATTTTTTAAAATATTTTCTTAGCACTTTCCTTTTCAAGATTCAGGAAACGAATAAACGTATTTGTCCCACATTGGTATTTATAGAGTGACGAATTGAACAAGTCAGTGCAAGGTAGCGAAGCTCTGAGACTGCGACTCTTAGGTTTTTACAAATTCAAAATGTATTGCGACCACAAAGCGAATACCAACATCTTACAACTTACACAATTTTATAAACATATATAATAAAATTTTTACTCCATAGGTACTTTTATAAATAATGTATATGTTTTGATATTATAAGATAGTATGATGTAAGTAAATAGGTACTATCAGTGTATGTGTTCAGATCCACTATCGTGGACCCCCATATTCATTTCATGGACCCCCAAATTTTTTTTCGCTGACGTAGACCCCTTGCAGGTTGTCATAGACCCCTAGGGGTCGATATAGACCACTTTGGGAATCAATGCTCTAGACTAATCTGAATATATGTTACCAAAACTGAAGCAGAAAACTCATTAGAATATGCAGTCACCTTTTTGTATTCATGCACGAAAAGACAGAATTTCGTTTATTTAAAATATACAGAACATTCGTTTTCTCATCTATTCAGTTGAACCGTATCGCATCGGTCCGATCTAAGAGCATCAGTGCGGCTCTGAATTTTTTCGATTTTCTGATCGACAATTAATTCTCCGAACGGACAGGGCCGTTATATACAACCTAAATCGTTAATAATCCTCTTGAAAAATCAACTTGATAGTCCGTACAGAAACTATCTTGAAGTGTATAAATGGAGAAGGAATTTATAGGAGACGTAAAGGTATAGAAGTGTAGAAATCTCTGCGTCGTTCGGATAGATTTTCGATTAGATCTCGCGATAAATTATCCATTTTTAACGCGCCTTTAGGGACGGAAATCTGTCCAACAGGCGAAGACAGCAAAGAAGGATCTTGATATTATATGGAAAGGGATGTGACTGAACAGAATGACTTTAAATGCTTCCTTTCAAGACAGGTGTAAACGATCTTTCTCGCGTTCATTGTTTCCGTTGCACGGTATGTTTTTAAAAGGAGAATCAAGTTTAGTTCGGCTTAGATACGGTGAGAGACAGTGAAAACCTGTAGGAGAGGAGACGTTTAGCGAAGTATGTAAAATATCTGTTCGCTTGTTTGTGATAATACGCTAAAGCTTTCAAATTAGGTACCTCTTGGAGCCGCAGAGGATGCTCAAAAAATTAAGTGAGCTAACCCACAGTTTAGACATTATTATTACAAACAAAATTTCGGTCTTTCATTATAGTTAGTTAATAATTTACACATCTAAGATATATGTTTCCAAAAATTATCTGCATAGTATTTTTGAAACTTTATCAAAGTAATATAAAAAATTATAAACAATCATACCGCTGGTTTCCTATTTGCTAGCTCATTGTCTATGGCATGCGAAAAACTGTTTGATCGCAATAAAAGTACACAATGTGAAAAAGCATTTATTTCTCCAAACTAAAAAAAAATAATACAAAAAGGAGCTTCCGTCCTGAGGTTCTACAATGGTTACAACTTCTCATTACATTACGACGCCTCTTGGATCTTTATAACACTATACTTGACACTGACAAAAATGTCATGCGAACGTTAGACGCATTTAAAATGTGTTATAAGCAATCAGAATACTCTTGCACACTTTACAAGACACAATGCTAAAACTTTAAATAATGTATTAGGAACTAACACCGAGCATTTTGCCTAATTTTTCAGACGGTCAGTTCGATACAATTGATTGATATTTATCTACTGTTTTTGTTGTTTTCTCGAGTTTATTTTCCAACATTTTGTACTCGCAGTCGTTTTAATCTTACGAGATTTTGAAAACAGACGTATGCTATATTAATACTTAAAAAAAAGTACAGGGAATTATATTTCTTTGTAAAGAAACTGGATTACCTGAACTACTTATTTGACAAAGTCATGCAAATGTTAATAAAGCAGCAATTTAGCACATGCTACATACTAACTAGTCTAAGACAGTTTGAAACCTTTCAATATGAAATATTGTTTTTTTTTTCATAACCTTTAAGGCTCATCTGTGACCCTATAAAAATTTCAGCTCTAAATATGTATACACAAGAATATGAAGAAATCTTGAAAAACAGTTTTTTTCTTCGCAACAAAAGGTGATGACACATCGCTTTGTTTTAAAATGTGTCTAATAACGAATGTTTTTCGAATATCGTAGCGAATCTGTTAAATTACTCACAAAAACGAATTTGTTTAGAAGAAAAAGAAACGTAAGCCTTAGTTTTTCGCATAAAAATAACAGTTCGGCGCTTGAATGCAGAAGTATTCTAAGTCACAAAATGCATATTTTACAAGAGAGCTATTTTTCGTGTTTGTGTCTTGCCTAACATTTCTGAAAAATTTTGGATATAGAGTGCTTTACCGGAAAAAAGTATGACTAGTCCGTGAAAGTAGACATATTTGTTGCTGACATTGGACTTACAGTCGTTCTGTAAGTGATCATCTGCTCTTATCATAGTTCTGCAGCGAAATGACGCGCCTCAAGCTATTACGCCAAAATATCGTTCAAGACCAGTGGTGGGGGAACGCTTGTGCAGGGACTTACAATACCTCTGCATGCAATGTAGGTGGCTATGACCTACAATGTCGTGTTAAAATCTGAAAAATGAAGAATTTGGACATACAATAGTTCTGCATTCAGGCGACGAATTATCTTTTGGAATGATTTGCGATTCATGTCGGCAACGTAAACGCATATATTTTGCTATAAAATGCCCTTTGAATGAACTTGTATATGGCACAGTAAACTAGTAGTGATGGCCGGAAGACAGTTGTTTTGGGATAAACAATTAGAAATTCTCAAAGACCACGTGACCAATCGACTCCAATTTTGTTGTGGTTATTTAGAAGTATGAAGCCTACGAATTTGAAGAATTTGAAGTAGCTGCCTGAAATTATCGTTGCATTAGCAACAAGTACAAAAACCTGCAATTTGCCTCGGTTTTCGGCTATAACCTTTTTACGATTACCTGTGGTCTCATTCTGCAAGTCTCATAAATACCCAAAAATCTTATTTGAAGAGTTATTCGTTCCTGCCAACACCTTCAATTGGATCCCAAAAAACATATTTTCTCATTCTTTGTTGTAGAATAAAAAGTTTTCCGACAAAAATTGGTGTGCCCATTTTGTACGTCTATGTTTTAAACAACTTGCGTTAATAAAACAAGGCTTTACAATTATTTCGGAGAAATTTGCTAATATTATTAGACTATGCAGTTAAAAATTTCCTTGAAGGAGACAAAATTCAGAAAGAAGTCAAACTTTGTTGTTATATTTTAAGACGTAGTCAAAAGTTTATTTGAGGGATTCTAAGATTGTCAAGTCCGGCAAAACTCGTTTTTCAAATTCTAATCATCCAGTCACTTTTGTATAACTCCAAACACAACAAGCACAAAATGAGGACTGCAATTAGAAAATATGTGGAGTGGAATTTGCATTGAAAAATCGGGAAACTGCTGTTGCAGTATGCAATCTAGAAACGTCACAAAACTTATTTGATCAGGGTGACTAGCCAAATGTAAAAGGACTTGTACAGAAGGATTTGTATATATTTTAGAGTGAATCCTAAGACCCCTCATCTCCAAATAAAACATTCTGGATAGGTAACTGGGAAAGGAATGAAAACACCTTCAAAATGAGAACTAATGGGTATGTATGTCCAGTTCATTGCAACGGCTAATTGGATATTGAAAAAAATGATTCATTTGTTTGCCGAAAAGTGCATAAAATAAAATTTGAAATAGTAGCTCAAGCTATTCAGCAAAGTAACTGCTGCAATAAATTAGTCATATGTAATTGGACAATATCACAAGAAAAATATAATTACGAGATACAAGAAGGTACTTTATCAGTATCATGTGATATTTTAGCTATCACTGTGTGCGACAATGATCACTTACATTTGAAAGCTCTCTCTGATAATTGCAGTGCAGCTGTTCAAAGTTCAGTTCTTGTGAGTGTTGATCTATAAAAAAACTGGATCACCTAACAGACTAGGGGTCAACAGTTTCTGTATCAGCCCCAATGCTGGAAATTGCCCTGGGATTGGATATATAGTGAGCTGGCGAATTAGAAACTACTATTGACATACCAAAAAACTCACTGCAGGTCTAAAGAAGTATCTACTCGTATATATGTTGATATTAAATCTAGTGTCCCTCATGGGAATAGAAAAAGGCCATATTTGTTCCATACACAGTAGATCCCGGATTATCCGAAATATTTAGACTCATAATGCTTTTATTAAAAAAAGTAAATGCGTATGTCAATTGAGTATATACCTATATAAAGTTACGTAAAATATAAACATGTGGATACAAATATACATATTTACTAGTATTTAGTAACAAAAGAAATAATTTTTAACTGTAGACGTTTTGCATTGTTCCTATTTTTGGCAGCAATATCCCTTCAACGTTTGATAAGTAGTACATCAGCTGCTGTCGCATTTTCTTGTTGTTCGACGTAAGTTAAGGCCTTACATACGTATTTGAAAATCTTCGCTAATGTGGATCACGCAGGATTGAACAGGTTACAACTTGTACGCGACACCGCTATCGTGCTCGACGCGGAAGCATTGTTTTACTTAGTTTGAATTTGACTACTGGTGATAGCGATACGGCCTAGCGTGCGTTCATTGTTTACTATTTATTCATTGTGTATTAAGTATAGTACCTAGTAATGTCATCACAAACTCAGAAGCGAAAGCACAAAACATTGACAATTAAAGTAAATGTGATATTTTATACCACTTAAATTGCAATGAAACTTTTAGTAGTTTAGGAAGTGAATACGGCGTAGGCCGATCTACAATTTATGACATTAAAAGAAACCACGAGAAGATCAAGAAGTTCGTGTCAACTACTGACTGCGGGCCAGGCAATATACAGACACTCAAGAAAACTGAACATCCAGAAGTGGAAGAAGCTTTGTACATGTGGTTTCTTCAGGAAAGAAATAGGCATGCACCAATTTCAGCACCCATGATGGCCATGAGAGCTAAGTTTTTTTATAAGGAAATAACAAAAAAAGATGATTTTGTTGCCAGCAAAGGATGGCTAGAGCGTTTTAAAAGTCGTCATGGCATACGTTTAATGACTATTACATACAAGAGAGAAACTTTCTAACGATGCCAGTTGCATAGAGCCCTTTAAATTAAGATTTTTGCAAAAGGTGAACGATTTAAATCTTGACCCGTCACAGGTGTACAATGCAGACGAATCAGGGCTTTTTTGGCGTGTGATTCCGAACAAAACTTTCATTTCTTGTAACGAAAAATCCGTACCTGGACGAAAAGTAAGTAAAGAGCATCTAACCATACTACCATGTGCTAACGCTGCGGGCACACACGCGCTTAAGATGATGGTCATTGGGAAATCTAATAAACCACGGGCATTCAAAAACATTGATTTACCTGTACACTATTATGGACAAAAAAGTTCATGGATGACAAAAGACCTTTTCAAAAAGTGGTTCGTACCTGAAGTTAGAAAATGGTTAAAAGATCTTATTTTTGTCAAAAAACGTTGTTGCTTCTTGATAACGCTCACGGTCATCCGTCTGAAGAAGAACTAACAACTGAGGATAAATGCAGCACTGCGATGTTTCTTCCGCCAAATTGCACTGCACTGATTCAACCAATGGACCAGAATATCATTCAGTTTGTCAAGCAAGACAATAAGAAAAACCTACTTCTGAGAGCCGTATCAAAAGACTAACCAATAGAAAAAACTTTAAAAGAATTTAATATGAAAGACTTGGTTTTTGCTCTTTGTCAGTCGTGGAATGCGTTACCGTCATCAACTATTAAATCGTCTTGGAAAAAGTTATGGCCAGATATAGTCACCACTCCTAGCAACGTTCCACAAATCAGTATTACTTCGGAAGTTATAGAACAAGTCGCTACTGAAACACAGATAAGTCCGGAAGATTTGGAAATCTGGTGCCGTCGAATGGATAAAGAGGAAAATGTTTTTCATTAAATGTCTGACGAAGAGATTATAAAAGAGGTTTCTAATTATATAACAAACAATCAGGAAACTAACAGCACAAGACGCAATTAACGCTTTTGAGCTAGGTTTACAATGGGCTGAAGAGAATGGTACATCCTACAACGAACTTTTACTTTTGAGAAGACTGAGGAACAAAGCTCTGATCTCGCGTTATAGCAACCTTAAACAAAAAAAAAAAATTGATGAATATTTCCAAGCTTCATAATTTGATAAATTCATTAATGATTTTGTTTAATAATTCTTGATTATTTTGGTACATATATATGTGCATTTATGCTTCATTTTATAATAAAACGTAAGCTCTCTATTGTTATTTAATTCACTTAATTCGACATACATAAACTATGTATGATGTGTACTTCAAAGTACATACACATACATAACATATATAATCTTACCATTGGATATGTAATTTGTCGGATTACAAGGTACTCTTTTGTAAAAAATTCCGGACTATAGGGGGTCTTAGGCAGTGCTCTATAATCCGACAAATTCGATAGTCCGACACTGCCCTGCATAATGTTTGTCGGATTACCGGAGGTCCACTGTATTAGGAGGCAAAAACATCACTCGTAACATATTTCTCCACTTTTAAGTTGCTGCTCGCTGGGGTTTCTCTGAGCATTGTCTAATAGCAATATTCACGTTCATTCAAATATCGTTCTGTCTTGGGAACAAAATGACTGTAAAACCAGTCCTTAAATAGAGCAGCATCTATCCAGGCATTTTTTTGATTTTTATACCACACTGGAAGAGCGTTGTGATGGACGAGTTTAATTGCTCTTGGTTTAGCTGATTATCCGATTAACAACAAAGGAAGTTTGTGTGTACCGGAAGCATTCCTACAAGCAAGGATAGTCCCACGTTCTTTACTGCGTTTGTAACCAGGAGCTCCAGATTCTTGTTTTGAAACTAATTTTTTCGCCGGTAACATTTTATAGGTTAGGCTAGTTTCGTCGCAGTTGTAAATTTGTTCTGGATTGGAACCATACTGCTTCATTAATTCTTCAAAATGTTCTCCAAATTCTAATGCAGCGACTTATCGGCAGATAACTTTTCTCCGCAAGCATTTAGTTCTCGTATACCGTGTCATTTTTGCCATCTATGCAGCCAATCATGACTGTCTGTAAAGTTATCAGGCGCCTCAATAACTGGTAATTCTTCACTTAACTTGACTGACTTTTGCTTTGCAATTGATCCAGAAATTGGTATTCCACGTTCTCGATTCTGTGTAAACCACATAATAAAGCATCATCCACTTTTTGATATTCCCCCTTTTTCAAAGTTTTCAATTTTCTCGTGTTGTTTTTTCTATTCTGAAATGGTACCCACGCCCACACCTAAATCACTTGCCACGTTGTTAAGCAAATCACCTCTATCTAAACGTTTACTTCTATGCAGCTCCATCTTAGCGATTATGAACCTGACTGAAACAAACATAAACGCACACATACCAGTGAATTCCACAAACGCGCTTGGGGGATCACCGGCAGTGAATCTAATGACGCCAATGCAAAGGGGAACTACCGGATCATGCGCCGATTTCCCAAACAACTTCGACTAAAACGGAGAAATTATTGTATGCGATATATTTCGGATAAAACGGATTTCGGATAATCGCGATTCGGATCATCGGGGTTCAACTGTACTGGGAAAATGATAAAACATTCTATTTCTTAGACAAGTGTATCCTGTATCAAGGATCTGAGGTAAAATATTCATGATAGTGTCTGGTAGAACATGCCTATGAATGTAACTACAGTATATTCAGATAAGAGATAGACCGGACATAAACAAGACCACGTGATCATCGAACGCTGTAACATTCGGCAGGGACGTATTAAGAGTCACGCAGTACATATTTTAGATAGTAGATGCTGCTTTGCGTAACTTTGTAGTAAATTAGCACAATTCGATGTGTATACGATTGGTGATGGATATAGGATCATGTGGGGGTGGGGTAAGAAATATATAATGATGTAAATATACATAAGGGTTTCAAAATTTTCGCTTCGATTTCCAGCTTCGGATGCCGTCTGATGTTTGGTGAAATACAGTCGAATATAATCTCAAAATGGCGTTTAAATTAGCCTAAATTAAAAATAATCGTATATCTCTTAAAATTGCTTTTAGAATATTGATTAGTATATTTTTTGATTTCTAGGTAAATATGTAACCAAATTAAAACGTTCAAAACGTAAAAAAATGTGCATGGTTGAACATTGTCAGAAAGTAGATTCTTGAATAGGTTTTGCCAAAATGGGTTCAAAAATGTCAATAATTAATTAAAAAATACAGTAGCTTTATAATTACTTATAACTTACCGAATTTGATGAACGACATCTTTTATTGGAAAGATGAGCTTGATGAGCTTTCATCATCGCTACTGCCTGAAGCACCAACGTCAATAATGAATGGCTCGACTTGTTCCTCTAAAATATTGTCCAGTTCCCACATTCTCTTTTCAACTTTGTCTTTCACGTGCTTAATACAGTTTTCCCATTTTTGCGCTGTTATTAATTCTAATGCTTCTTTGAAAAGTCCTTTGAGGTCACAAAATTTAAAAGTTGTATTGTGCTTAGCTATATAATTTTTAACCTCTGCCCATATGAGCTCAATGGGATTGATCTCGCAATGGTATGGAGGTAAACGGAGCACAGTTTTATTTTGACTTGCTGCCATTTCGTCAATGGCGTATTTTTGATATTCCGCCTTGTGATCCTTGACAATTCTTAATAATTGTACTTTCAGCATTGCTTCTTCAAAGTTGATATTTTTCGAGCGGAGCCAATTTTGAACATCAACTTTCCTTGAAGCCGTTGTTGGGACCTTCTCCATTCTTCGAGAATGATAAGGCGCATTATCCAACACAATTACTGCGTTTTCCTCTAAGTTCGGTAAAATTTTTGAAAACCACTGTTCAAACGATTCGCCATTCATTTCCTCGTGGTAA